CCCCAAAACCCCAAAACCCCAAAACCCCGAAAGATTTCAATCTGACTAAAATTTTAATATAGATTATGATAATTATTATTTGATAACAATATTCAGTAAAAAAATAATGAAAAAGCAATAAAAGCAGTCATAATCATAAAAATAGATTGCTCTAAAATCTCAGAAGCAAGAAAATCCAGTATTAAAATCAAAAAAATCATAAGACACTTTGATGATCATAAAAAAATAAAGCATTAAATTTGCTGATGTTCCTTTGGAAATTGAAGATTAAAAAGAATAAGCTAAAGTAGAAGAAACTCCGTAAAAAAAGGATGACAGAATTAAGGTAACAGTAAGAATTAGACCAAAGCTATAGCAAGAATATCTCTCTGATCAAGTTGTGGACTGTGATAATTTTGTAATGACACACATTTTCATTAAATATAGAATAATAGAATAAAAGTATCTGATGCATCTCATTTAATAGAGAGTAAATATGATCTCATTCTTGATCAGAAATCCTCTTAGAGACAAGTCTACTCATTTGTTTAAGGTAATTTTTCTATAATAATTCTAATATCTTGCCTAAACATACTGAATCTAATATAGATGCTGTAAAAGAAGTCTTCGACGGCATTAACTCCACTATTCTTGCTTACGGTTAAACCGGATCTGGCAAGACTTACACAATGTTTGGACCACTTTGGGAAGAGAATGTTATATTTAACAAAAAATAATAAAGATCATAACTTCGAAATAATCTCAAAGATTCTTCATTTGCTCATAATTAAGACTAAGAGGGGATTATCCCAAGATCAATTAGAGAAATCTTTAATTTAACAAAACAGCAATAGAACTTGTCAAATACTATTTACTGCTCATTTATTCAGATATACAATGAGAAAATATTTGATCTACTTCAAGATGGGGAAGCCAAAAATGCTTTGAAAATAAGAGAAGAGGAAACAGGAAATATTTTTGTAGAGGGACTTTCTGAGTACATTGTGCAATCAGAAAAAGATTGCTTCGCATTACTTAGGAGAGGAGAAATAAATAGAATAACAAGGTAAACCAAGAAAAATATGCTTAGCTCTAGAAGTCATTCTATTTTCTAAATGCTTATTGAAAATGAAAAGCCTGATGCTAGGGGATTCATTAAGAGAGCTAAATTGAATTTATGCGATCTAGCAGGTTCAGAAAAAATTCATGGGCTTTTAAATGATTAAATAGAAAGTAATGCGCATTTATCTGAATTAAAGACTATCAATCTGTCTTTAACCACTTTAGGTAAAGTAATATCTGCTCTATGTAAGGAAAGCAAAGCAAATCGTAAGGCAGAGATGATTAATGCCCCAAAATTATTGAAAAAGGGAGATCATCATCTTAATAAGATTCATATACCATATAGAGATTCTCATTTGACAAGAATACTTTAAGATTCTTTAGGAGGAAATACTAGAACAGTTTTGATAGCAACTGTTTCCCCTATTATAGATAATATAGATGAATCAATAAGTACCTTAAAATTTGCTGACAGAGCAAAGCAAGTAATGACCAATGTTAAAGTAAATGAAATAAATGCTCATGATGATGCTCTAGTACAAAAACTGCAAAAGGAAGTGTAAGCCTTAAGGGAGGTATTAGCAATTAGAAGAAAAGGGTAAAATTCTGATATTCAATCACAATTTCTTCGATTAAAAGAGGAAAATCTTAAATTGAAAGAAATTGCATAAAATGTAGACATGGTTGAAAAACTAAAAATAGAAAACAAGCTCATGAGACTTGAACTATAAAGATTGAAAGATGGTAGTGATTTCGGAAATACAATAAGGTCTACTGATATGTCAATGGGAGAAAATATGTCATAGTCTAGTAAAATTATACGCAAAAGTTATAATTCGAATAAGATTGACTCAATGATGGATTTTCAAGATAATGAATTACTTTCAAATACCTAAGTTGATGATAATGCTGTAATGCATGTTTAGCAAGAAAGATAAAAGGAGGTGAATAACTTAATGGGAGCTCTTTAAAAAAGCGGTAGATGTCCTATCTGCACATTAATGCCACCGTGTAATCATTACAAGAGTTAGAATGAGATAAATAGGCAAAATATTAATGAAGAGAATGAAGAGCATGATGAGATGAATTCATAAGAGAGTCCTATAATTAAAATTAAAGCCAATAAGCATGCTCGAAATCAGCCACTAAATCTCAATACACAAAGCTTACCTACATTGAATGTTTATCAATCACATTCATTTTTGTCTCCTAAAGGAGAGTAAACTTAAAATTATGATGATAATATACAGCTTTCACATTTCAGTCCTCAAAATTCGAAGTATGGCATGTTTAAGACTAACAAAAGAACTCAAAAAAATGCATATAACTAAAACAATTTAATGTTACCTGAAATTAATACCTCTAGTAGTAAATATAGTTAGTAAGTTGGTTATGGTCCTGATAATTTCAGTTAATAAATTAGCTCACGAAACAATAGTCAATTTAAGAGTACATTTATATAGCCTTTCAATAGTGCAAATAATAAAAGCAATGCTGTTACAACTTAACTGGATGACGAAGAGGAAAATGATTAAATGCTTAACATTCGGATTAGGGGAAAGAATAACTAATTCACAAATTAGAAATCCTCTGTGTATAATACGATTTAAGAATAGTAGTAAAGAAATGTATAGATTCAAGAAATTATTAAATAGTAATTAAGGGTAAAAAAGTTGGAAAAAATGCAAAAAGAAAGAGAGGAAAAATCACTACAGAAATTCGAATTGGAAATTTAGAAAATAAAATAAAAGTATAAATTTCAAAAAGATAACTTATGAATTTTTTTATTTCATAAACTAGTCACTACTTATTATTCACTTTTGGGGTTTTGGGGTTTTGGGG